AGTCAAACAGAGCTCTGTACTCTATATTCTTGAGAGTGAAGGTAAACAGTATTTTTCACAATATTCCTGTTAAAACACACTAGCTGTCTCATTCTCTAGTTTCGATCCATTTGTAGATACTGCCGCCCTATATGGTACTTTAATGTTCCCAAAACTTGGATGGTAACATCTTTGTGACCTTAGTCTCCATTCCTGTTTATCAGTCACTTAAAAGAGGTTCCTTGATGTCAGTGAAGGGCTCTTGACCCAAGGAATTGGACTTGTCCTCCCCTTCCTTGGATCGAGCCTAATTGCCCTTCATTACCCAGGCAATGCATGACCCCTATGGATTTGGCACTTCCCCTAAATATGAGAATAATGACTATTCATTGTGAAAACTGCAGATTTAATAAGAAAAATTATTCTTCAGTACATGACTTTGTTAAAGGTCCATATTGCATATAGTACTTTATGTCCCTCTCACCTCCTATAATTCAAACTTGATCATTTTAATTATTTAACTGTATCACATACATAGATATCCTTCAAGTGGAGTAATATTATTATTTAATACAATCATAACTAAGCACTAAACCCACAAGTGGGGGTAATAACCTTGCAATATGTTTCCGCCAGAAATGCTCATGCATGCTAGTGGTGTCTTTGTGCTTAACAATACTTTATTACATGTAAACTACAATTTATATACTACTCAAAACAGTAAAAAAAAATTTGATTTTGATAAAAAAGACAAAACGAAGATCACATAACTAATTACAAACACTTACCTTCGCAGAGATTAACTGTCGCCTATGGTTGTTATCGTTTCTCTAGTAATAATTTTGTTTTGAGTAATGAGAGAGAGGATAAAAGTGTGTAATATATGAGGAAGGAGGACACACCCAGGCAGCAGCAGCGGGTCGATGTCTTACTCACACTGTTGACGTCGCTTACTACACAAACTTTCTCATACATTCTCTCTGACAAAATATTTTGTCCATTCTAGATTGTATTGATATCCTTTTATGTTGTGTTTCTTGCTTGATACGAATTTTTTTTTTTAATAGGTCTGTCGTCATTATTTCACCAAATGTTTATGTGTTGGTAGCGGCTTTAATTTACTCGTAGCTATTTTAACTTGTTTGGCCAACAAAATGGAAATGTCACACTGTTTGGCCTTATTAGTTTATCCTAAGTTAACTCTACATGCATATATGTATATATGTATGTGTGTATGTATGTATGTATGTATGTATGTATGTATGTATGTATGTATGTATGTATGTATGTATGTATGTATGTATGTATGTATGTATGTACGTAATGTAATGTAATGTAATGTAATGTAATGTATATGTATGTATGTATGTATGTATGTATGTATGTATGTATGTATGTATGTATGTATATATTCTTTCTTTCACATTCACCTATATGTGGTTGTCGTGGTCGATTCTCAGCTCCTGGCCTCACCTCTCAACTGATTTGCCTGATTTACTCTTAGCCTCATAGGTCCTATAGTACCTATTCTTAAAATTATGTATGAAATCTGCCTACACATCTTCACTGAAGTCATTCCATTCCCTAACAACTCTGAGACTGAAGAAATACTTCCTGGCATCCCTGTGACTCATCTGTGCCCCCAAGTACCTGTTTCTCGCCTCTTAAACAAACTAACAATGTCTGCCCTGTCAATCCTCTTGAGTATTATGTATATTATTATCATGTCTTCCCTGGTGTGTGCATGCCCATAAAACCACTATAAAACTTTTAACTTGTGTAAGATTATTTTTATTATAATCAAAATGAAGCGCTAAACCTATAAGGGTCATACAGCGCAGAAACTTGTGTAAAAATCCTGTATAACAGTTACTCATCTTTGCCAGCTTTTTAGATGGGAGTCAACATAATATTAAAACAAGTTTTATTTAGGAATATAATTCAATGTTCTTTTGTAATGTTTATATAGCTGAATTTATTTTGTAAGCAACTCCTTATTATTGCTATTAAATTGACACATAAATTATCATTATATTAAAAACCAAGAGGTAAACATGTATGGGTTATACAGTACTGGAGTGTAGATATGTGTAAGGATTGACATCAGTGAAGTTAGTAGTTAGTATGGGTGCATAATTAATGTCAATGATGGTGCAATAGGTTTGTGTTTAAAAGTCAAAGAGTGAGTCCACAGTGAAGGTGGGACTTTCAGCGAGGAGGTCAGTCAGAGTGAGCATATCAGGGCATTGTAGATGTTAAAAAGTGAATTCTGCATTCTCTGAAGATATGACAAAAGATTAAGATATGATGAACAGAGAGCTCATCTTGGCAATCTTTGCAGAGTGGTACTGAGCATTTTTCCCTAAATCATAATTAACCCTTAAACGGTCCAAACGTATAAGTATATATGTTCACTCGCGTAGCGCCCCAAATTTTTTGAGAGAAAAAAAATTGTCTTTTTTTGAGTAGGAAAAAAGAGCATATGGTACCCAGGCATCCCCAATTATTTTAATATGACACACAGTGAGTGCGCACACCCATTCTCTCATGTCTAGGTGACTCAGGCTTATAGTGGCAATGTTGAATGAATGACAAAGAAAACGTATATATACATTTGGGGCGCTACGCACGTGAACGTATATATACGTCTGGACCATTTAAGGGTTAAGAAAGCAGTTTCCCATACCAAATAACAGTATATCAGTAGAGAGTGTGCCTATCACCTATCCAAGAAAAATGAGCAAAAGTTTCAAATAGGTTCAGCCGAGTAAACACAGCTTTTAAGGAGACCGCGAGACTTTTATGATAGTCATCAAGGAGAAGAAATTCGATTATCACATTCTGAGATAGTAAAACCACAAAGCCATAATATGGGATGTGGGATGATAGGGCATTGTTTTTCAGTTATCAAGTTTGGGATATTAGCAGTTTGGAGGGATATGTTGTGTATCTTTATACGTATATGCTTCTAAACTGTTGTATTCTGAGCACCTCTGCAAAAACAGTGATAATGTGTGAGTGTGGTGAAAGTGTTGAATGATGATGAAAGTATTTTCTTTTTGGGGATTTTCTTTCTTTTTTGGGTCACCCTGCCTCGGTGGGAGACGGCCGACTTGTTAAAAAAAAAAAAAAAAAGATAGTTTGTTTTAACATTGGAAAATTTGAAATCATGTGAGGTGGCCCAGTTGGAAGTGAAATTATAATTCTGAATGGCCTTGCACTTTAATGGCCAATTCATTTTATAAGAAGAATGATGACCTATAACTGTATCATAGGTATAATTTTAGGCTGTGGAGATACAAATTTGCTAGTATAATAACATAGTTAGAAAACTTGGAATCATTGGACTCCATGTGTTAACTAGAAAATGCCTCCTCTGGTTGCTGTCACACTTTTAACACTTGTGTATCTTGTGATCTTGAGCTTGTAGGTGAAATTTTCCAGGTTATTAACCTAGCTAATATACAGTAATTGGTAACTAGAGAAATTATTATTATAATCAAAACTAAGTGCTAAACCCACAAGGGTCATGCAGCTTATATAACTAGATAAATTATTATAATCAACACCAAGCACTAAACCCACAAGGGTCATACAGCACTGCATATAACCAGAGAAACCCTCTTCTGATCAGCTTCAAATTTTCAAAGGTGATGCATCCTACATAGAGGATTTGGATTCATCTCGGGCTGTATAGATGCTAATTTACCAATTTTTTCTTTTTTAAGAAACTTTGACATTAGTTTCCATGTAGTGATTTTTTAATGCCTCTACTGATTGAGTCTAAACCTTCAGTGCTTCTTGCATATGTTGTGGTACAGGAGGAAGGGGTTACAGGATATGGGGAATACCTTTCTTAGATCATTCAGTGACTGAAATGCACTTAGGTATATCATTTTTCAACATTCATGACTGGTAATACTGTTATCACGAATATCTCACAGGAAATACATCTTCATAGAGTCCTTTAGAATTCATCAACATCTTATCTTAGAATTCACTATGTATCAATCCTTTGTTTATTGAATGTGTGGTAGGTCCATTATCTCTCATCATCATCTTCATTATTAACCCATTCAGCATTTGTTTGTTTTTCACTGTCAAACTCACAAGTACTAAACACTATATGTTGCTCATTGATTGCTGACTTTATTTCTTGTGCCTTCCTGTTGTGAATATTATTACAATCATGGGGGTAGCACTAAATCTATAGGAGTCATAGAGAGCCTGGGAGAATGGAAGGCACTCAGGTTCAATCTAAGGACAGGAAAAGTAGTTATAATCCATGTAAAACTGCATGGGGCCTGGTCATGGACTGGGCCACAGGGGTGTTGATTCCTGGAACACCCTCCAGGTATACTACTCCAGGCAGTATGAGGTATATGTTTAGAGCTAAACTAGGCACTTGTACACATATTTCATCTAGGAAATAAAGTTTCACAAGTCATCTTTCAGTAAATAATGATGAAAGGCAAACCAGAATGAATGCCAGGAATCATACACCTTTACTTTACACTCCTGGTTCTACTTGCAACCTACAGTACCTCCACCATCAGAGGCCTTCCAAGATGGCCACTTACTGTCTAATCATAGGGTTAGACATCTGGGGATTCATGTCATGATGAACCATCACAACACTACTTATGGAAGGATCACTTAAACAGGACTGGATAGCGATTCTTTTCCCTTCATCTAATAACTTTATTTTATATAAAGGGTGAATTATCCCCACTAATTAGACCAAATGTAAGAAATGGGTGGGGAGTATTCAGACGCTATCCAAAGAAGGGAAGGATAGGTCCAGTTCCTTGAATAAAAAGCCTTGACAAAGAGCCCCCTTGAGGGGAAATATGTAAATCGTTCATTGCTACTGGCAGTTTATATCTTATTTTATCTTGATCCAGCTCCTTTATGTATCAACAGCTTACTACTGTAACACTGACCCCCCACTCACTGCCAGCAGCTTACTACTGTAATCATGACCCCACTTATTGATCCATATGTTAAGGAAACTAAAATAATTTAGTATGTATTTCTAAATGTATTATTATTATTCAAAACACTGGTACCCATAGTACATAATATTCCTGAAACATAAGGATACATATTTCAGTTTGTGTATTGAGTAACTCTGTCCTTTGACCAGTTTAACTATTTCTGCATTTTATTATAAATATAAATCTCAATATTCATTAAAGAATCTGTTAAAGGAAAATTCAGTCAAAGTAAAGAAACTAAAAATTAAGTCAAAAGATGACAATGGATACTGTTATTCTGTAATATACTCAGTTTATGGGCAAACTATAATATGCTGTCACGTGTACAGTCATAGATTTCCAGTGTTATAAAAGCACTATTCTGCCAAGGTAATTGAAGGACTTCATTAAATTTACTCTCTTTAACAGGAAAAATTAAATAAATTTTGTTGTAATGCATTTTAACTTACTGCAAAATCAATTCTTAATTATGCTTCTGAAGAAAAGTTTATTCACAGAGGTTACATTTTTCAAGAAATCTAAGATTTTATAGCATTGCTTATTATCAGTGTAAGCCTTGTGATTAGTGCGCTTAAAATGCATTGCATAATTAGCGAGTTTCTTCTGTAACTGCAGTCGTACAAACTATGTACATATATCAACTGTAACTCCCATATGGTTCACAAAAAATAGAAAACTGCAGTTTTTAATGCTATAAAATCTTAATAATATGACATGTGTTATTTTTAAACAACAACATTTAAATTTACCCCAAATTCCCACAACTGTAATATGCAATTCAATATGGCACTCAAACATTCCTAGTGCCACCAAAAATCCTTACACATGTAATGCATCATTCAAAATGGCACTCAAATATTTCCTTAGTGCCTACTAAACAAATTAAATGACTCGTAGGCATATGAGTTGGGGTGAAGGGGGAGATGGAAGAACGTCTTGGCAGCCGACCCAATTTAATATGCTATATCAGAAAGGACTTTAGCATATGTTAGTTACTCATATTGTAACTTTTGTGCTATTTTATGCTCTATACTGCTTATACAGAAATCAGAGCAGTCTTAAGAAATCAGGGAGAATTTCTTCCACCTCTCCAGTGAAGTCTTAAACACTATGATCCCACCTGTAATGTTATATTCAATATAGCATTCAAACATTTCTTTAATGCCGAAACAAAATATAAATGTAATAGTTGCATCTTTTATAAATCTATGCAAACTATTATCTTTTGCAAGTGCTATGTGTATATATATACATACATATCTTCTTTCAACTGGCCATATCCCACCTAAGCAGGGTGGCCCAAAAGGAAAAACGAAAGTTTCTCCTTTTAAATTTAGCAATATATACAGGAGAAAGGGTTACTAGCCCCTTGCTTCCGGCATTTTAGCCGCCTCTTACAACACACATGGCTTACAGACTAAGAATTCTGTTCCAATACTATGTGGAGATAAGAGGAAATAAACAAGAACTAGTAAAAAAATAGAGGAAAACCCAGAGGGGTGTGTACATATGCATGTGTAGTGTGACCTAAGTGTAAGTAGAAGAAGCAAGACGTACCTGAAATCTTGCATGTTAATGAGACAGAAAAAAGACACCAGCAATCCTACCATCATGTAAAACAATTACAGGCTTTCACTTTACACTCATTTGGCAGGACAGTAGTACCTCCCTGGGTGGTTGCTGTCTACCAACCTACTACCTAGGTGTATACATATCTTCTTTCAAGAAATTGGCCATATCCCACAGAAGCAGAGTGGCCCAAAAAGAAAAACAAAAATTTCTCTTTTCAACTTTAGTAATGTATACAGGATAAGGAGTTACTAATCCCTTGCTCCCGGCATTTTAGTTGCCTCTTACGACACGCATGGCTTATGGAGGAAGAATTCTGTTACACTTCCCCATGGAGATAAAAGGAAATAAACAAGAACAAGAACTAGTAAGAAAATAAAAGAAAATCCAGAGAGGTGTGTATATATACGCTTGTACATGCATGTGTAGTGTGACCTACTGAGTGTAAGTAGAAGTAACAAGACGTACCTGAAATCTTGCATGTTTGAGAGACAGAAAAATAGACACCAGCAATCTTACCACCATGTAAAGCAATTAGAGGCTTTCGTTTTACACTCACTTGGCAAGATGGTAGTACCTCCCTGGGCAGTGGCTGTCTACCAACCTACTACCTAGGATATACATATACATACTGTATCTTAAATAAATACAGAAGAAATGCATTAACCCGTAAACGGTCCAAACGTATATATACGTTTTTTCAACATTTGAAAGTATGTAAAAAAAGTAGATCTTCTTTTTGTTTTTTACATTTGAAAATGTGTAAAAAAACTTTGATCTACTTTTTTTTTGTTATATTTGAAAATATGTAAAAAAAAAAACGTAATCTACGTACTTTTGTAGCACTACACATGTGAACGTAGATCTGCTTGGACCGTTTGTGGGTTAACATACCAGACACCCCCCACATTTATTACCTAAGTGATTCCAGGAGAACCATCAAACCAGTTAGTCAAACTATTATCTCCTATAGACACAATGTAATAACTGAGGATTTCACTTCTGGGAACTAATTTCATACCATAAAATTTGGGTAGCTTAGGGGCTATCTAGTCAGAAAATAAGAGTCGCAGTTGTGGGCAGGGAAAGGGGAGCACAAGCTGGCAGTTATAAGTTGGAGAAAGGTCTGTACTATCTAGTCTGAAAATGGGTTGGATGTGTACATTTTGTCCCCAATGACAAACGTGTCTAGTACAGTACATCAAATGTTAGTAGGTAGCTAAAAGAAGAAATAAAAGTTTATGATTAATATTATATTTTAAGAAATAAAAGATATAAGCTAGGTTACACATGATACAGTTTTCTTAAAATCTAATATATTTAACACAGTAAAGTATTATTCAACGAGAGGCAAAAAATACTTAAAAAAAAGGAAGCAGCATACAGTCACTGCATCTAGCCTTCTTTAATAAGAATTATCCATATTGCACACAAAATACATACAGTGGTACCCTGAGTTTCATACATAATTCGTTCCAGAAGGCTGTTCGGGTGCCATTACTGAACGAATTTGTTCCCATAAGGAATAATGTAAATTAGATTAGTCCGTTTCAGACCCCCAAAAATACACTTATAAAAGCACTTACAATAATACACTTGCATAAATGTTCGAGTTTGGAGCTGTATGAAACTTGGGGTACCACTGTACTCACCTGTATATACATACATGTACATTTAGCAACTATACTGAAAATTAACATAATCAGCAGTTTATTTTTATACAAAATATAAAAGACAGCGATTTTGTATGAATGATGGTGAAAGTGTTGAATGGTGATGAAAGTTTTTTCTTTCCTTTTAGGTCACCCTGCTTTGGTGGGGACAGCCGACGCATTAAAAAAAAAAATCTTATATTCTAACCTTTCTCATGATATTCCAAATAATATTAAAATGTTGCAACTTCACTTCCTAATATGTTGTTAGTGACAAGTGTATTTATGCTCCATCTTAAGTTTTAAGGATTATCAACAAAAACTTCCTCCAGACAAACAATGATCTCATGAAGGCTCGAGCAGCTTCAATATGTGACGCTCCATGATGAGTTGAACTGTTAGAGAAAGAAGTATTAAGAAAAAGTGAAAATACTGATTAATTCATTATGGTTAATCCTTGAATTAACAGACACCAATTTTATGAATTCTGAATTTAAGCAACAAGATCAGACAACATCCAGAAACAACGGACACACTCAATTAAATTCAAAATTGTTTGTTATTGTTACAGTTTGTCATGTAAATTTATTTTGATTTTAATGGACAAAGTCCTTTAAATCCAGAACTGTCTATTATTGTTATGATCATGGAAAAACAATCTCGTCATTTGGATTTAAAAGACAGCCAGCTTTAAGGTTGGAGGTCAAAATTTCGGCCAACTTTTTTATTTTTCAACCAATTTTTTTTATTTTTGGTGTACGTTTAGAGGTTCATATGTAGAACAATGTGACAAAGTTTCAGTACGATTGGCCAACAAACAACAGAGAAAAAAAATATTTAATGACTTTTCATATATGGCAGCAAGAATGACAAAATGGCACTACGAGTGGCACTTCTGACAATCCCAACCGTTAGAATACGTCTGACACGAATTTTGGATGCACATGTTTCATCTAATATATCTTATTATCATGGAAAAAAAAAATACATTTGATAGACTTTTTGGCATTCACCAAAATATCTGCCTTTTACCTCCCACAAAACCAAAAATATTTGATATACTGTATTCCAAAAAAAGAAGCACCAAATAGTCAAACACAATTTGTTTTATATTGTCTGTGAAAATCATTTCAAAACAGTCATTAATAATGGTGTAGGTCAGCAAAATAAGTGAAAAAGTTACTTCTGAGATATAGGCCTGGAACGCCGGCCAGCCCGCCGTCTCAATTTTTTTTTTTTTTTTCGCAAAAATCGCATTTGTTTCAGTGGTTTTCTAAGTAAACTAATGTTCTAGTGCAGTTATCCTCTTCAAAATACCGTTTTCTATCACTCACAGATCAAAGAATACAACAAGGAGACGAGGAGTAACTCATTTATATCGAAATATTGCTGGTGGACTCTCAATTCAATTCAATTCAAAGTTTATTCTCTATAAGAACATAAGAACATAAGAAAGGAGGAACACTGCAGCAGGCCTGTTGGCCCATACTAGGCAGGTCCTTTACAAGTCATCCCACTAACAAAACATTTGACCAACCCAATTTTCAATGCTACCCAAGAAATAAGCTCTGATGCGCAAGTCCCACTCAAATCCAACCCCTCCCACTCATGTACTTATCCAACCTAAATTTGAAACTACCCAAAGTCCTAGCCTCAATAACCCAACTAGGATTACAATGCTGAGTTTACAGAATTTGGTTATTGTGTGGTTTACATGTAGTAAAATAATGATTACAGAGTGTACCACTAGAACACCTAGCATGGCTAGGCATTTCGGGCAGACTTAGTTTAATTCTTAATTTTAAAATATTACAAATTATGAGGTAAGTTGGTATTATGGCTAAGTGACTAAATACTAGTTTGTGAGTTTAGCAATGTGAATGCTTTTGTTTTGGCACAGTACATAGTTTCAGTATTGGAGTATCACAGGATTCATTATTTTAAGATTGAGATTAATATTTCTGTTTATGGTCAAATGGGTGAGTGAGTGTAAGTGTGAACCACCAGATGGTATTCGTGTAGTTAGTTGACAGGGAGTATCAGGGAGATAAGATGTTTTCTAATGGTAGTTTTGAAGGTGATGAATGTGTCTGCAGTTGCAGAGTTCTCAGGTAGGGTGTTCCAGATTTTAGGGCCTTTGACATACATTGAATTTTTGTAAAGGTTTAGTCGGACACGGGGAATGTCGTAGAGATGTTTGTGTCTGGTGTTATGCCTGTGGGTTCTGTCACAACTATCAAGAAAGCATTTTAGGTCAAGGTTGATATTGGAGTTTAAGGTCCTGTAGATGTAGATTGCACAGTAGTAAGTGTGGATGTACTGAACAGGGAGTAAGTTTAGATCTATGAAGAGTGGGGGGGTGTGTTGCCAGGGATGGGATTTAGTGATTATTCTTACTGCGGCTTTTTGTTGGGTTATTATTGGCTTTAGGTGTGTTGCTGCAGTTGATCCCCAAGCACAAATAGCATAGGTGAGGTATGGATAAATAAGTGAGTGGTAAAGTGTGAGAAGGGCATTTTGCGGCACGTAGTATCGTATCTTGGAGAGGATCCCAACCGTTTTGGATACTTTTTTGGTTATGTGTTGGATATGGGTGCTGAAATTCAGGTTGTTGTCAAGGTATAGGCCTAGGAATTTGCCCTCATTATGTCTGGTAATTAGAGTGTTGTCGATCTTAATGTTAATTTGTGCATCTCCTGCTCTGCTACCAAACATAATATAGTAGGTTTTGTCAGTGTTAAGCATAAGTTTATTGGCTATCATCCAAGTCGATATTTTGATCAGCTCCTCGTTAACAATGGTGTTGAGGGTGGCAAGATTAGGGTGAGAGATGACATAAGTCGTGTCATCAGCAAAGAGAATGGGTTTCAGGTGTTGGGATACGTTTGGAAGATCATTGATGTATATGAGGAAGAGCAGGGGACCAAGGACACTTCCCTGCGGAACTCCAGTATCAAGTGGCCATGTTGTTGATGCTGTGTCTTTAATGGTGACATACTGGTACCTATTAGTAAGGTAAGATTTGAAATAAGCAAGCGCATGGCCTCTTATACCGTAATGGTCAAGTCTGTGGTGTAGGATGCCGTGGTCTACTGTGTCAAAAGCTTTTCTTAGGTCAATAAAAATTTCTAGTGGATATTCCTTATTTTCCAATGCTGTGTAAAGCAGATCTAGCATTTTTATGATTGCATCATTAGTGCTTTTATTTTTCCTGAATCCAAATTGGCAGGGGTTGAGTATGTTTTGTGCCGTTATAAATGAATATAGTCTCCTGTGCACGAGTTTCTCAAAGATTTTGGATAGCAATGGTAAGTTTGATATTGGCCTATAGTTGCTTAGGTCTGTAGGGTCACCACCTTTATGTATTGGTGTAACCCTTGCCATCTTGAGTAGTTTCGGGAAGGTGCTAGTTTCTAGTGACTTAAAAAGTAATGAAATAGCATGCGAAAGGACATGGGCCACTCGCTTGTACAGTAATGGTGGGACATGAGACAGATTCCCTGAGTTATTTTAAAGTGACTTTATAATCTCGGTGACCTCCGTGGGCTCAGTTGGTGCAAGATAGAAGAAATTTGGGAAATTCCCATCTAGGTAGTCCCCGGCATGGGCATTGGTATGTGGGATTTTATTGGCGAGATTAGATCCTATGGTTGAGAAGAAGTCGTTTATCTTGTTAGCTGTGTCAGTGGGATGTAGTGGTGTTTCATTAGGTTTAGTTAGGACAATATTCTTGGTTTTTTAAGTTTGTGGGTCCCTAGAATCTGAGAGAGTGTTTTCCAGGTCTTTATTATATCTCCTCTAGTGTCTGTGAATCTACTGGTGTAGTATAGTTGTTTGGCTTTCTTTATTACTTTGGTGAGAACTGATGAATAGTGTTTAAGAATATCTTTGTGTATTAAGCCCTGTCTATATTGCTTTTCATATTGGTGTTTCTTGTCAATGGATTTCAGAATGGTGCTGGTTAGCCATGGGCAACCAAGCCGTTTGTTTGTGATCTGTTTCGTTTTTATAGGACAATGTTTGTTGTATAGTCTAAGTAATTTGTTAAGAAAAATGTCTGTCCAGTCATCAATACCATTGGCTTTGGAGAATTCTGTAGGCCAGTCAACAGTCTCTAGGTCAGCTGTGAACTTCCTTATCGAGGCCTCGTCATGGAGTCTAAATGAGACTTTGTTGTATTCAAGTGGTGGTTTACTAATGTTTGTCAGGAGGAAGGTAGGGTAGTGGTCTGTAGTGCTATCTGTGATTATCCTTGATTTAAGGGGGGCTAGTATATTGGTCCATATGTGGTCTATTATGGTTGCACTTGTCTCAGTGAGCCTGGTTGGTTTAGTTATTGTTGGTATGAGAAGTGTGTTGTTCATATTGTTGATGAAATCAGTTACAGGCTGATCATCTAGTATGCCAAGGTTGATGTTGAAGTCTCCAGCTAAGAAAAGGTGGTGCTTATTCATTTGTCTGTTTGTTATTAGTGACTTTAATTTCTCACTGAAATTTGGGATGTTTGTGTGAGGTATCCGGTAAATGGCACCAATTGTTATAGGTGTCTTAAGGTTTTTTACAGTAAAATTAGCAAAAATGTATTCCCCATATTCATCACTAAAGGAAGTGGTGCTAATACAAGATAATTGGTTAGAGTAATAGATTGCAATACCACCCCCAACTTGGTTTGGTCTGCAGTTGTGAACTGCTGTGTATCCTGGTAGAGGGTAGATATCTATTGTGTCCTGCTTAAGCCAGGTCTCAGTAAGAATAATGCAGGAGAAGGGTGTCTTTAGTGATTCAAGAAGTGCCAGGAGGTCATCATAGTGTTTGCTTAAGGACCTGATGTTGTAGTTAAGTACTGATAGACTTTTAGCATTGTTTAGGATAATGCTGGCTTGTGATGCTGTGTAATAAAGGCAGTTACTTTCCAATAGGTTTTGATTGGGTGTCAGATTATGGAGGTTTAGATCAGGGTCAACGTGATCAATCATCATCTAGGTTTAAATTATGGTTATTTATATCCTGAGTTGTGTGTTGAGTTCTAGTACTGATATCTGTAGCGGTGGGAAGTTTGGACAAGTATATAGCCATATTATATATAATAAAATAGGCCATATTATGGCCTATTTTATTATATATAATAAAATACATGGGTTGAGAACAGACGCACTACCTACATCGACGTTACCATACCTGATATAAATGACTATAATTTCTTGTAGAAACGTCTTAGAACATTGATTCTTGTACCATTGTGCTGCTAAAGAGTTAAGCTATTTTTCTATATGAATAACTCAATTTCCATAATTTTCGATTTTTTTCTTGAGACAATCTCGTCATTTGGATTTAAAAGACAGCCAGCTTTAAAGGACACTCCCTCCCCTCTTATTAGTTTATTAAATCATGGTTTAACTTTAGTTACAAGTACTTCTGAATCAATTGATAATCAAAGCCTAAGTAACAAGACACCAAGACTACCACAACCCACCTGGTTACAAGATTTTCATTGTGAATAACTCAAAATAGGGAAAAACTGATAATAAAAGATTTTGGTTAAATAGGAAGTTGTATAAAGCTTTACTGTACATTACTTCATCATAAAGTTGACTTCTAAAACCTGCACAACACTCAGTAAATACCATCAGTATACTTGGAGAGGGTTTCGGGGATCAACATCCCCGCGGCCCAGTCTGAGACCAGGCCTTGTGGTGGATCAGAAATAGTGACTCTGGTAAATTATTAAGTTATAATGGTGGGATAACACTGCCAAGGGGAAGGTAATCTCAGAATCACTAACACATATAAATAAAGGGAAAAAACTGTAAGGTGGGAGAGTTTGAAGAAGAAATGTTTGTCTTAATTACTGAACAAGTATAGCTTGTGAAATATCTGTTGCTTTTACATATTTACTAAACATAAAAAAAGTCAGCAAACTGGAGGTAGTGTATTGGTGTGAAAATATGACGGAATTTTGGCTAGTGATGATCAGGAGTAGTCAAGTGGCCCATCGTAGCTGCCTACAGTCTGCTTAGAAAGTTTTGACTCCAGCCTCAGGCCAAACTTTTGATCATTGCAGCACAAGGCAACAGATGATTGAAGCACAAACTTTTTAGAAATCTTCTTAAACACCTGTACACCAATTGTAAGTGTGGCCTTGCAGCTTCAAGAGTGCACTCATTCGCCTTTGGGTCAAACTCTGCACTATGTTCAATGAAGCTGGAGTGATGGTATATGTGATGGATAATAATGTTAGAAGAGGAGAGTGTTTTGTTCTTTGTGTCATGGCTGCTCCAGAGATGCAGCAGCAGCCACGAGGCAGAGAACAAAACACCGTGTTCTTCTAACATTATTATTATCCATCTAATACACGCATCATCTAAGCTTCATAAAACATAGTGCACTCTATGATCCAAAGGAGGATGAGTCCACTTTTGAAGCTGTATGGCCCACTTACACTTAGTGTATGAGTGTTTCCAAAAATTTCTAAAAAGTCTGTATTTCACCCTTCTATTACTGTATGTTGCAATGATCAGAAGTTTGCTCTGCAGCTGGTGTAATAGCTTTCTGTGCAGATTTGAAAAGGAGCAATTCAGTTGCATCTATACTGAACATATGGTGATTTGTGGTCATTTTCTTCAATTATTTCTTGTGAAACAGAATACTCATGTCATGGCTTAATGAACAGTCATGAGGTGGGAGCACTAAACCTGTAAAGGTCCTACTGAGTTTGGGGGAATGGGAGGTAACCAGGTTTGATTCAAGGAAGGGGAAATCAGGTCCATTTCCTTAGATTAAGAGCCCTATTTCCTTAGATTAAGAGCCCTTTACCAACATCAAGAAACCTCCCTTGAGGAGTTTGGCTTAGAAAAGATTTGTATTGTACTGTATGTGTGGTGACCAAACACATGTAACAAGCATCAAACAAACTCACTACTGTGTGCTAGCACATAACTAGGACATGTGAGCTAAAGTATTTTTCTTATAATTAAAAAAAACAATAACTCAGTTTTGGCCACAATAAATACTCGTTGCAGTGTATAGGTGGTATCTCCAATTACTTCCAGCACAACAGAATGCTATTTAGCTTGGCTTGAGATAATTGTGTGTATGGAGACTAAATTAGCTTCAACACGCCAGACACTGTTAGCTCAGGAAATGTGCCAGTGTCTCAATTATTAAGGAAAAACCTTGAACTTAGCCATCTGATTTTATAGGTAAAAGAAGTGTTATGACTAAGATTTCATAATAAACCCCATAAGATACACTCTGTACCTCTTCTAAGGATACCTAATAATAATGATTTCAAGGATATGAATATGAAAAATAAAAAGGATGTTAATTCACAACAACATTACATAAAACTATAAATGCCATGCCTTGTTTACTCCCTCTTGCAACAGCAATGCTGAATGCAGAAGTACCAGCAACATTAGTGGTAGTGATGTCTACTCCATGATCTAGTAGCTCGTTTGCACAATGTGAATGATCGTTATGTGCAGCATACATTAAAGCAGAATTTCCCATCTGAAAAGTTGATAAATTCCCATGAGTTACATGTTGTCATGGAATTTAATGGCATGCAAAAGGTTTATGAGAATTCTATAATGCACACATTTCAAGACAGTTTTATTAACTTGTAGAACATTATTATACATACATGGTCAACATGGTTCGGATCAGCACCAAAACTGATCAAAAGTTTAATAATTTCATGATGACCATTACTAGCAGCAAGCAGAAGAGCAGTCTCTCCATCTTCTCCCTGAAATGATTAAAGTTTGTATATGTAGGCATTACTTTAGGTTTAAACATTTTTTTTTTTTTTTTAATGCATTGGTTGTTTCCTACTGTGGCAGGGTGACTTGAAAAAAAAAGGAAACACTTCCATCATTACTCACTCCATCAGTGTCTTGCCACAGGTGTGTTGAGTTGACACTACAGTTTAAAATTGCAAGCATATCTCCACCCCTCCTTCAGAGTGCAAGCACTGTACCTATCACCATCGTTTGCCTGTCCATATTCCATGGAACAGTGTACAAGTGTATGTGCAAGTGGAAAGTCTACAAGAATTAAACTCAATTAATAATGCTAAAACTTTACCCCAAAATTTACTTTATACTGCTAAAATACGTAAATATATTGTACTGTATTCTCTTTTTACCATAACACATCTTAATGTATTATAGTTATTTTCATTATACTTAGACTGCATACAGTATTAACTAAAATTACAGAAATACCATATTTCATAATAATTAATATTATGCATGCACAGGAGGACCCTGAGTATTCGACATCCTCTTTTCGGCATTCCATGTTTTTATTGGCTTTCAACTGAGCCACTGTTCATTATGTTCGGTGCTTTTACTGCTTTTCTGTCATTTTCACACATCAGTTGCATAAAGGAAGGGAGACAGGCACCATATTTTAAAGTTAAGTGTTATATGTACTGTGTATTTATTTTACTTTTTTATCCTTTTTTTTTTGTCTAGCTGTAGTGAGTACTTATATGATAGTGTAAACACATTACCAGGCATTTTAGATGCATTAAATAATGAAAAAAACGCTCTTTTCCACCCACCGGCAATTTTCGCTTACCGCACATAGTCGTGAACCTAAGAGCCATACAAATGAGGCCCTCCTGTATATTTTCTACATAAAAATATTACATCAAATTCTGTAAAACACAATAAGCGAGAAAAAAAGGTTTTCAGGAAGCCGGTATTCTCAATAATGGCTCCCTCCCTCCTAAAGAAAGGAAAAAATAATTTTCCAACAAACCAACATCTAAACCAATTTATCTGGCACACCCCATCTTTCACATCTATCATGGCACAGTATTAAATATTTTTCATCGCTTAATTTTATATTATTTTAACACAGAAATACATACTAGTAAACCCTTGATTAAAGCAGAAGTGGACTGCATGATTTTGTAATAGTACGACTAAAAAACTGCAACCAAACAAGTCATAGCCCACTTATGTGCACCTGTGCCTAAATAAACTTACTTATTACAATCAATCAAAACTAAGAGCTAAACCCACAAGGGTAGGTCATACAACTCTGCATAATATTCACATCATATATTGGACTCGAACATGACATCACCAGTGTCTTCTGCCCCCTTGCTACAACATTTAAAATCTATGCTTCACGCTCATATCTCCTCAAGGGAGGTTCCTTGACATTGGTGAGGGACTCTTGGTAAAGGAAATTGGATCTGTGCTCCAGTTTCCTGAACTGAGTCTGAATACCTTTCATTCCCCCCCCCCCCACAGGCACTGTATAATCCCTATGGGTTTAGCACTCCTCCATGAACATAATAATAATAATAATTCACACTCATTTAGCAACGTTGGTATGTACCACTATACTCTAGTGCATTTCCTTTCTTGCCTCTATGTACCACCCACCTTGAGATCTATGGTTTATTTCATCTTTCATAAAACTATCTGCCCAACAGTCCACTCCCAAATACAGTGGTACCCCATGTTTCGGCCATAATTCATTCCAGAAGGTTGTTCGAGTGCCGTTACTGAACGAATTTGTTCCCACAAGGAATAATATAAATTAGATTATTCTGTTTCATACCCCTAAAAATACACAAATCGAATATCATATTTTTCACTGCCTAGATTTTTTGTTACATTAACATTATTATTTTTATTATATTCATGGAGGGGTAGGGGGTCAGCCTTGGAAAAGTTAGAGGGAGGGGGTAAAGGAGGTTTTGTGTGTGCGGGGTTTGCGCTTCCATCAAGCGTGCATGAGCGTGTTAAATAGGAACAAACGAAGACAAATGGTGCTGTTGGAGTGTAAGCATGGTAACATTTACAAAGGGATTCAGGGAAATCAGCAGACCGTACTTGAGTCCTGGAGATGGGAAGTACAGTGCCAGCACTCTGAAAGAAGGGTGTTAATGTTGCAATTTTATAACTGTAGTGTAAGCATGCCTCTGGCAAGACAGTGATGGAGTGAATGATGATGAAAGTTTATCTTTTTCGGGCCACCCTGTCTTGGGAAATGGCCGATGTGTTAATAAAATCAAAATCATGGGGAAATATTAAACTCGTAGGAGACATACAGCAACTGATAAATAAAAGGTTATCAGGTTTGATCAAAGGAGGTAGAAGGTAGCTCCATATACTAGCTACAAAATATCATCATCCTAGAATGCTTTACAGGCTGTACAAACCTACCTCTAAATTAACTTTGGCTCTGTTCTGAATGAGCAGCTTTACAGTAGGCAGTTGTCCATAATATGCTGCCCACATAATTGGTGAAAATCCATTACTGTCCAATTCATCAACATCAATATCTGAAAAATATATTTATCAGACAAGTAATTGCTGAAGACATATTAATGAAGCTAAGAAGACATCAAAATATGAGTAACGTGTACAATGTACATAGATCATGACAGCCATACCACGGGTGGTGTTAGAACCCGCAATCAGAGAGTCTCAAAACTCCAGACCGTCACGTTAGCCACTGGGCCAGTCAGCTGGTCCAGTGGAGTTTTGAGACTTTCTGATCACGGGTTCTAACCCCCATCCATGGTATGGTTTGTTTGCAATCATGTCATTACAATTTCATGAGTCATTAAGACAGCATTTATAAATACCATAAATCTTCAACTGATATTATAGCTATACAGGTGTTAATAATGTGCTCACATGTGAGGAGGCAATTTACTACACTGTATGTTAACACAGTTGATAAGTGAGGAGGTGATCAACTAAGCTGACTGCTTTTCAACCCAGCTGATGCCTCTGAGACAGTATATAAATGACCCATCTAACAGGCCACACTCACACCCTGGTTTACTCTAGTTCTGGCAAGAGGCCTAGACACCTTTGACTCACACCACCAGCTTTCAGGAACTTCAACACTTGTCCCTACAAATGACAACCAAAGGACACCTGCTTCTAGCAAACATGCACATAAACTGAGACACCCAGCAAAACACACACAGACCACCAATAAAGGGCATACATGAAGGCTCTAGGTCTAGTAATTCGTTTGAGCAGAGTGCTCCCCCACCTCTCATCCACTTCTCAACTACTTCACCATTAGCAGCAGAAAGTGAAGGCCTCATCACACACACAAGATTTATCATCTGTCTCATCTTCAACATGTACATAATACACAACAGTGCTACTCTTACAACCACAAGGAAAAAATACTTGGTGGATAATAAAAACCTTTGTGGTGAGAGATACTAAGCTAATGATACTCTAAGGCACTCATACTAATTGGAGAATTTACAGAAAGTTTTCATCACCTGCTAATACTGCAATTCATAAGAAAGGGTTTTGGTAAATTCACTAAGCATAAATTAATAAAAGATCTATGTTGATTTTCATTCTGATCCAATAATGCCTCATCAAAGTCTATATGCCTTTTTTTAAATAGAGCATTAATGGCATTAAAATTGAAATCTGTGAGAAAACAGAAAAAGTTGCATAGGGTAAATTCTATGATCACAATTAAAAACAAATCTACGGTTGATTTTGACTAAGTCATGAGCACCATACCATTAGTTCAAGTAGCCATGGTTCTCTAAATTAATATTGCTCTGACTTTAATACAGTGATGGAATGTAAATTAATATTACATCCACTTACTTGAGCTGCCACCTGCCATATAAATGCTAAGGATCAATTCAACACTGACAAAACTAGAATTACATACAACCAATTTGTTCTTTAATGTCTTCCCTTTATAAATGATGGCTTTAAAGATAATAAACCTTTGTAAAGAATAAAAAACAGTCACAATACTATGGCTGGAACAATTAACAAGTAACCCGCACTTAAAGGACTGGTAATTTTGAAGTAACTTAGCAAGAAAAACTTTTCATTGTATGACGTTTCACCAAGTAAAGGGCTTTATCAAGTACAGCCTCTCGTCACTTTGTGTCAACCATCTGTAGATATCTTTTTAATGTCACCTTTTCACCATTTATAACATTTTTAATATATTTTTAAATTTTTATACAGTAGTGTACCGTATACATACTGTAATAAACGGAATAGAGGAAATCAGAAATTAGGTTTGCATATTGGTCAGAGGGTGGGTGTAACTCCGAGTGGTCAGTAAACGAGTATGTCGCTAAGTGAGGAGAGGCTGTACACAGAAATAAGCAAAAATACTGCCTTATACCAATTTAATGGGATGCCAAAACATGATCCTTTGAGCCATCAATTCCCAAATACCCAGTCCATCAGTTTACCACTGTACTACAGTTAGGTGGAGGAGACAAAAGTCAGGTGATAGCAAGAGAGGGAAGGGTCTGTATCTGGGTATTACTGGGTTAAACATCCAATAATAAAGAAGATTTTTTGCTGTTAAAAGTGCCTTTGAAGTTACCACCTGTCAGTTTATGCTACTGTCTACCTAGCGGCCACATAAATTTACCAAAGAATAATCAATACTGAATATTACACTCAACAATAATTGTAAGATATAAACTTTAATGATAAACTTCTAAAAATAATCAATTATCAGAATACAGTACTACACCTCTCAGATCATCTGCAGACAACTCTCCCATGGCTGCCCTATTGTGAAGAGTGAAGTCATCTGGTTCAATCTGAGCAGCCTGCGTCTGAATATTCCCACGTTGAAGGTTTGTCAGTACAGTCACAGGCTGTAAACAAGGAATAGGCTTAATGCTAATAAGCAAATGATTTAAATTCATCAAATCTATGATTGCTGATCACCACTCAAAAGATCTGGGACATACATACAACAGCCAAAATAAAATAAAAAATATTATGGTTATCTACAGAATAAGTGCTACATTTTATACTGCTGATCACATGACTGGCCTCTAATATCTGCTGTGCTGCTATCCTGAGTGATGGAACCATCACCAAGTTGTAGTGGTCATCAAAGAATTGAATAACTTAAGTCTGAATAGGCTGATGATACAAAATTGATTCTTCAGCAACATGCTATTTAACCCTTAAACTGTCCAAACGTAGATCTACGTTTTTTCAATATTTGAAAGTATGTAAAAAAATGTAGATCCTCTTTCTGTTTTTTACATTTGGAAACGTGTAAAAAAACTTTGATCTACTTTTTTTTTTTTTGTAATATTTGAAAACATCTAGGTAGTAGGTTGGTAGACAGCAACCGCCCAGGGAGGTACTACCGTCCTGCCAAGTGAGTGTAAAACGAAAGCCTGTAATTGTTTTACATGATGGTAGGATTGCTGGTGTCCTTTTTTTCTGTCTCATAAACATGCAAGATTTCAGGTACGTCTTGCTACTTCTACTTACACTTAGGTCACACTACACATGCATGTACAAGCATATATATGTATATATACACATCCCTCTGGGTTTTCTTCTATTTTCTTTCTAGTTCTTGTTGTTGTTTATTTCCTCTTATCTCCATGGGGAAGTGGAACAGAATTCTTCCTCCGTAAGCCATGCGTGTTGTAAGAGGCGACTAAAATGCCAGGAGCAAGGGGCTAGTAACCCCTTCTCCCGTATAAATTACTAAATTTAAAAAGAGAAACTTTCGTTTTTCTTTTTGGGCCACCCTGCCTTGGTGGGATACGGCCGGTTTGTTGAAAAAAAAAAAAAAAAAAAAAAAAAAATTTGAAAACATGTAAAAAAAAAAGTGGGTTATAGTAAGCGTGTATGCACCTGGAGAAGAGAGAAGTGTAGAGGAGAGAGAGAGATTCTGGGACATGTTGAGTGAATGCGTGGGGAGTTTTGAATCAAGTGTGAGAGTAATGGTGGTTGGGGATTTCAATGCTAAAGTGGGTAAAAATGTTATGGAGGGAGTAGTAGGTAAATTTGGGGTGCCAGGGGTAAATGTAAATGGGGAGCCTTTAATTGAGCTATGTGTAGAAAGAAATTTGGTAATAAGTAATACATATTTTATGAAAAAGAGGATAAATAAATATACAAGGTATGATGTAGCACGTAATGAAAGTAGTTTGTTAGATTATGTATTGGTGGATAAAAGGTTGATGGGTAGGCTCCAGGATGTACATGTTTATAGAGGGGCAACTGATATATCGGATCATTATTTAGTTGTAGCTACAGTTAGAGTAAGAGGTAGATGGGAAAAGAGGAAGGTGGCAACAACAAGTAAGAGGGAGGTGAAAGTGTATAAACTAAGGGAGGAGGAAGTTCGGGCGAGATATAAGCGACTATTGGCAGAAAGGTGGGCTAGTGCAAAGATGAGTAGTGGGGGGGTTGAAGAGGGTTGGAATAGTTTTAAAAATGCAGTATTAGAATGTGGGGCAGAAGTTTGTGGTTATAGGAGGTTGGGGGCAGGAGGAAAGAGGAGTGATTGGTGGAATGATGAAGTAAAGGGTGTGATAAAAGAGAAAAAGGTAGCTTACGAGAGGTTTTTACAAAGCAGAAGTGTTATAAGAAGAGCAGAGTATATGGAGAGTAAAAGAAAGGTGAAGAGAGTGGTGAGAGAGTGCAAAAGGAGAGCAGATGAAAGAGTGGGAGAGGCACTGTCAAGAAATTTTAATGAAAATAAGAAAAAATTTTGGAGTGAGTTAAACAAGTTAAGAAAACCTAGGGAAAGTATGGATTTTTCAGTTAAAAACAGAGTAGGGGAGTTAGTAGATGGGGAGAGGGAGGTATTAGGTAGATGGCGAGAATATTTTGAGGAACTTTTAAATGTTAAGGAAGAAAGGGAGGCGGTAATTTCATGCACTGGCCAGGGAGGTATACCATCTTTTAGGAGTGAAGAAGAGCAGAATGTAAGTGTGGTGGAGGTACGTGAGGCATTACGTAGAATGAAAGGGGGTAAAGCAGCTGGAACTGATGGGATCATGACAGAAATGTTAAAAGCAGGGGGGATATAGTGTTGGAGTGGTTGGTACTTTTGTTTAATAAATGTATGAAAGAGGGGAAGGTACCTAGGGATTGGCGGAGAGCATGTATAGTCCCTTTATATAAAGGGAAAGGGGACAAAAGAGATTGTAAAAATTATAGAGGAATAAGTTTACTGAGTATACCAGGAAAAGTATACGGTAGGGTTATAATTGAAAGAATTAGAGGTAAGACAGAATGTAGAATTGCGGACGAGCAAGGAGGCTTCAGAGTGGGTAGGGGATGTGTAGATCAAGTATTTACATTGAAGCATATATGTGAACAGTATTTAGATAAAGGTAGGGAAGTTTTTATTGCATTTATGGATTTAGAAAAGGCATATGATAGAGTGGATAGAGGAGCAATGTGGCAGATGTTGCAAGTATATGGAATAGGTGGTAAGTTACTAAATGCTGTAGAGCTTTTATGAGGATAGTGAGGCTCAGGTTAGGGTGTGTAGAAGAGAGGGAGAATACTTCCCGGTAAAAGTAGGTCTTAGACAGGGATGTGTAATGTCACCATGGTTGTTTAATATATTTATAGATGGGGTTGTAAAAGAAGTAAATGCTAGGGTGTTCGGGAGAGGGGTGGGATTAAATTATGGGGAATCAAATTCAAAATGGGAATTGACACAGTTACTTTTTGCTGATGATACTGTGCTTATGGGAGATTCTAAAGAAAAATTGCAAAGGTTAGTGGATGAGTTTGAGAATGTGTGTAAAGGTAGAAAGTTGAAAGTGAACATAGAAAAGAGTAAGGTGATGAGGGTATCAAATGATTTAGATAAAGAAAAATTGGATATCAAATTGGGGAGGAGGAGTATGGAAGAAGTGAATGTTTTCAGATACTTGGGAGTTGACGTGTCGGCGGATGGATTTATGAAGGATGAGGTTAATCATAGAATTGACGAGGGAAAAAAGGTGAGTGGTGCGTTGAGGTATATGTGGAGTCAAAAAACGTTATCTATGGAGACAAAGAAGGGAATGTATGTAAGTATAGTAGTACCAACACTCTTATATGGATGTGAAGCTTGGGTGGTAAATGCAGCAGCGAGGAGACGGTTGGAGGCAGTGGAGATGTCCTGTCTAAGGGCAATGTGTGGTGTAAATATTATGCAGAAAATTCGGAGTGTGGAAATTAGGAGAAGGTGTGGAGTTAATAAAAGCATTAGTCAGAGGGCAGAAGAGGGGTTGTTGAGGTGGTTTGGTCATTTAGAGAGAATGGATCAAAGTAGAATGACATGGAAAGCATATAAATCTATAGGGGAAGGAAAGAGGGGAGGGGTCGTCCTCGAAAGGGTTGGAAAGAGGGGGTAAAGGAGGTTTTGTGGGCGAGGGGCTTGGACTTCCAGCAAGCGTGCATGAGCGTGTTAGATAGGAGTGAATGGAGACGAATGATACTTGGGACCTGATGATCTGTTGGAGTGTGAGCAGGGTAATATTTAGTGAAGGGATTCAGGGAAACCGGTTATTTTTCATATAGTCGGACTTGAGTCCTGGAAATGGGAAGTACAATGCTTGCACTTTAAAGGAGTGGTTTGGGATATTGGCAGTTTGGAGGGATATGTTGTGTATCTTTATACGTATATGCTTCTAAGCTGTTGTATTCTGAGCACCTCTGCAAAAGCAGTGATAATGTGTGAGTGTGGTGAAAGTGTTGAATGATGATGAAAGTATTTTCTTTTTGGGGATTTTCTTTCTTTTTTGGGTCACCCTGCCTCGGTGGGAGACGACCGACTTGTTGAAGAAAAAAAAAAAAAAAAAAAAAAAAAATGTAAAAAAATGTAGATTTACTTTTGGAGCACTACGCATGTGAACATAGATCTGTTTGGACAGTTTAAGTGTTAAGATGGAAACCTATTTTCTCAAAATTTGGAAAAAGATGCATCAAGTGGTACATACAACACACATATCAAGAAAATTCAGAAATATCTTATCACCACTCTCCTACATATGTAAAGAGAATGCTGATGGTAAAAATGAATGGGAAAACTTTCAGCCCTGATGCTAGTTTGTTATAAAATGTATATAAAAGGAAGATATTGGCAGTTTGGAGGGATATGTTGTGTATCTTTATACATATTTGCTTCTAAACTGTTGTATTCTGAGCTCCTTTGCAAAAACAGTGATTATGTGTGAGTGTGGTGAAAGTGTTGAATGATGATGAAAGAATTTTCTTTTTGGGGATTTTCTTTCTTTTTTGGGTCACCCTGCCTCGGTGGGAGACGGCTGACTTGTTGAAAAAAAAAAAAAGGAAGAGACATGTCTGCACTGCGAGATCAACTCTCAGGGTCCAGACGCGCTCCAGATTAACGATACTGTCATATCTGCGCGTCTCTGGCAAGACAGTGATAGTGTGAATGATGGTGAAAAGCGTTTCCGTTTTGGGTCACCCTGCCTCGGTGGGAGAGGGCAAGCATTTAAAAAACAAAATTCACTTTACATGATGGACGGAAATAAAAATTAAACACTGAAGTGAAACAGCATCATGAAAGAAAGTTTACCACTTTTACTATATAATTAAAAAGTTAACCTCTAAATGATCATCATGGTTCTGGTTATCAACTCACTTGAAACAACCAGACAATTATAAAATATACATGTGATGAAGTAAGGTTTGGACATGCAGTCATGTTCCCTCATTTGTCAGGTTTCCCTATCCAATTTTGCTGTCTAACAATTGTTCTTATCAGAACACATTACAGGGAAAACATTTAAACAATACATCTGAGCAATTCTCAAATCAGTTTACACACCAAGACACAACTCTTTTAGTTTAAAAAAAAAAAGATAATTTATGGATGATGATTGCACTGTACTCGGTCTGCCTGTTGGAGATTTAAATTCTTGTTGTTAAAATTTCAATGATAGATATCTACCTTAAATTAATATATACACTATAATTGCTGTACTTGTCATGAACTGAATTTTAGGTCAACGTTAAAGACTAATTTCAAAGAATGAATCAATGCACTGTTACATCCATTAATGTGCTCTAAAATTAACAAAAATCCTATCACAAGAAAAAAAAAAAAAGCTTTAAGGTAATTATTACACATTATTCAAAACAAAATTTGAAAATGTTTATCTTAACCCATAAACGGTCCAAGCAGATCTACATTCACATGCGTAGTGCTCCAAAAGTAGATCTACGTTTTTTTACATATTTTCAAATACAACAACAACAAAAAAAAGTAGATCAAAGTTTTTTACACGTTTTCAAATGTAAAAAAAGAAAAAAGATGATCTACTTTTTTTACATACTATCAAATGTTGAAAAAACGTATATATACGTTTGGACCGTTTACGGGTTAAAGTGTCATCAAGGTTGAGTGTACCCTGTAAGGTGAGAAGGCTGATCTACGAGTGTGCGACTCCCACGGGTCCATTTCATCGCCAATGTCCTCGTCAACGTCCTCTTCCTTTACTATCAGGTGACCGTCGTCTTCAGATGAAGAACCCATTTCTGACTGTGCTGCAATAAAATTAATTTACAGATTATTGCAAAGCCTCTCAACACAAACACAAAAAAACAGTATAACATTTTTATATTAAAAATAAGCACTAAACCTATATATAACATACAGCACTATGGTGTGGTGATGTGTACAATATTAGTTTCTGCTAAAAATATATAAGACAATCTATTGATATAATGGAATTCATAGTTCCCCTGAGCTAATCCGCTTGGACTTCCTACTCATTTCTGTAACATTGCAAGTTCCTGATGATGTGTTAATTGCAACACGAAAGGCCTAGAGCTATCATTCAACTCCCCCTGTTTGTGTTTTGCATACGTTATTATGTATAACTGTACCTGTGTATGTGTACCTCTGCCTAAATAAACTTACGTCGTAAAAATTAATTATACATGTCGTAAAATATAAAATAATGTCTGATTTCCATACAGACAATAAGCAGCGTCATAAAATATAAAAACCACAGTGTATATACGTAAAAGCGAGGAAATGCAACAACTTTTTTCCTCTCTAAACCTTGAAGACGTAGCAATTGATGTTATTGTTGGGTGTTAAGGGTTGGCAGGCAGTGAGGGCCGTGTGAACCCTTTAGTCGGTGGTCTCGGCTGGAGTGAACCCGGCTTCGCTAGTCCATTCTTTAATAATAATAATAATAATTAAAAATAATAATAATCCTTATTTCTACAAGTACATGATACATCTAGTACAGACCTAGCTGACATCATTGACCTACTAGTACTGTATAGAAAGCCCTTTGTTCTCTATACATTCGTTGCCATGTATGATAATATACATAACTGTATTTGTGTATACCTGAATAAACTTACTGATGTTATGCAGAGCATTTCTGGCAAATTAGGTCAATATTGTCCCCAGGATGCGATCCACACCAGTCAACTAGCACCCAGATACATATTTTACTGCTAGGTGAACATGGACAGCAGGTGTCATAAAGGAAAGACGTCGTAAAGTTTTCACCCGTACCAGGGATCGAACCACGGACCTCAATGTGTGAGCTGGGTGAGCTACCAATCGAGCTACGAGACACCAAGTAAGTTTATTTAGGCACAACTACACATAAGTGCAATTCCCATAGTGTAAACTACCTTGGATAACGCACAAACATGGAGTGTCCGGGGTTCGATCCCCAGATGGGTGAAAATATTAGGACGTGTTTCCTTAAGACATCCGCTGTCCATGTTCACCTAGCAGTGAAATAGGTACCTGAGTGTTAGTCGACTGGTGTGGGTCGCCGCATCCTGGGATAAAACCTAATTGCCCGAAATGCTCTGCATAACATGAGGCTTTCTGTATAGTAGTATGTCACTGATGTCAGCTATGGTCTGTAAAAGTTGTATCATGTACTTGTAGAAATAAATATAAGCCTCAGTTCGTCCACCAGTCCAGGTTTATATTCTGGGTGTGCTAGGTGAGTGCCGCACGCCCACCGAAGAGGGTAAACTCACCATAAATATTAAGCTCACTCAGTAATGTAATCATGGCTCATAATGGCAAACTAATTTTTCCGTCCCCTGTTATGAAACACTGTGGCAGTTGTAATAGGTTGCGTAATAGCTTCAGCACGGTGGCACAGAGCACATCTTGTGACAATAACCACTACGCCACTGGCAACTTATTATATTGTTATATTCATGAAGAAGTACTCTGGTAGTAAGAAGCGACATAACACCTGGGAAATGAAAGACAATCTGGTTTAATCCCAGAAATGGAAGAGAAGCTCCAATTTCTTAGGTTAAGAAGCCTTCACCACCCTCAGGTCTACAGGAAGTTGCAGCTGTGGTAGGTTAAAACTAGTGCAGTAGCATAAGTAGCCACAGTAAGAATATCACAAGTAGCTGTTGTAAGACTATCACAAGTAGCTGCAATAAGACTATCACTACTGTAGCAGAGGTAGCGTGTAGTCTTTACCTTCCATCAACTTCCGTTCTATAAATTCCAAGCCAGTTTTTCCAATACAATATTGGGTGCTTTTTCCTTCTGGTTAATGCCGGCAGTGCCAGGAGGGGAGGGAGGAGAAGAGGGGGGAGGGGGCCTTCTGTTTTACTACCCTTACCTCCCCCATCTGTATAATAGTACATAATTGCCATTCGAGATAGTAGAAGATAATAAATGTTTGAGAAAGCAGTACATGGTCCGCAGAAAGAAGACAATAGTTCGTTCCAGCAGACAGCCTGGTTGTGGACTTCAAGGTCTTCTTCTGTCTGCCTTTCCCTCGAATTCATTTGCATATTGCATTAAGCAGATAGTAAAATATATGATGAGATTGTGATATATGAAAAGAATTTAATATCCAACCTTTGTGGTGCTACCGCTCATAAGATGAGCTGTGGTCTGTAATCAACAAGCTGCTCACAGGATGAGCTGTGGTCTGTAATAAGCTATCCGCTCACAAGAGAAGCTGCGGGTGCATAGTGAACTAGCGGCTGAGGCGACAAAAACTAATTAAATTAGGCAAAGAGGCCGCATATGATGTGAACGACTGTCAGCATTAAGAGGAACCTGGAGAAGCTGGTGCAGCAGTTTGACACGCAGAGGATGAACTTCAACGCAGAGGATGAACTTCAACGCAGAGGATGAACTTCGACGCAGAGGATGGACTTCGACGCAGAGGATGGACTTCGACGCAGAGGATGGACTTCGACACAGAGGATGAACTTCGACGCAGAGGATGAACCTCGACGCAGAGGATGAACTTCGACGCAGAGAATGAACTTCGACACAGAGGTTGAACTTCGATGCAGAGAATGAACTTCGACACAGAGGATGAACCTCGACGCAGAGGATGAACTTCGACGCAGAGAATGAACTTTGACGCAGAGAAGCTGCAAAGTAATGCATTTTCTAAGCGTGAAAACATTACAGGAATAAGAGACATTTGCTAATGTAGGTAATATGAAAGAAGAGAAAAGACCTTCAAGTGACTATTAAGAACGAAGTAAAGTGGACAAAGCAAGCAGTAGTGCCAACACAATGCTAAGTTGCATAGATATAAATTTTGAGAACAATACACACGATTTTAATATGTGTTATTTCTATATCAGAGAGAGAGAGAGAGACAGAGAGATAGATAGATAGATAGATAGATAGATAGAGAGAGAGAGAGAGAGAGAGAGAGAGAGAGAGAGAGAGAGAGAGAGAGAGAGAGAGGAAGGAACAAAGACGTTTGGTACAGTCCTCTTCAAAGAGGTTTCCCCATCTCGCTCACCTCCCCAGCACACTACTGCTTACCCATTCCTTCATTTACCTTTAATTAAACCCATTTCTGCGGAAGCCTCTAGAAAGGGCTCGTCCCAGCACGTAAACACACACACACACACACACACACACACACACACACACACACACACACACACACACACACACACACACACACACACACACACACACACACACACACACACACACACAGAATAAGGGGATTAAAGAGAACTGGAACACTGTGAGGGAACTAAGAATAAAGCACTGAGCTTAGCGTTCACACAGGCTAAGCTAAAGAAAGAACTGCTGAAGAAAGCTAAGATTATAAGAAATTTCGAAATTTAAGAGCATATCAAATGCGCAAGAGCTTTCTAAAAGAGGAGAGAGTTAACATGAAGGAATTGATAAACACTGTCAAGGGGATAAACGAGGGAAGAAGTAAGGATAAGAGTTTTATTTCCACAGAGTAGGAAGGCCATAACAACCTGTTGTGTGGCACCCGAGCTCATACCCTGGCTCTCTGTGGCACCCCAGCATACACCCTGGTTCTCTGTGGCACCTCAGCTCACACCCTGGCTCTCTGTGGCACCCCAGCTCACACCCTGGTTCTCTGTGGCACCCCAGCTCACACCCTGGCTCTCTGTGGCACCCCAGCTCATACCCTGGCTCTCTGTGGCACCCCAGCACACACCCTGGTTCTCTGTGGCACCCCAGCACACACCCTGGTTCTCTGTGGCACCCCAGCATACACCCTGGTTCTCTGTGGCACCCCAGCTCACACCTTGGCTCTCTATGGCACCCCAGCACACACCTTGGCTCTCTGTGGCACCCCAGCTCACACCCTGGCTGTCTATGGCACCCCAGCACACACCCTGGCTCTCTGTGGCACCCCAGCTCACACCCTGGCTCTCTATGGCACTCGCTCTCAAGGTCTCAGTGCCGCCAGAGACAGATAATTTTTTTTTCGCTCAGTGAAAAAGAGGGAGAGAAGCACAAGGCCGTTATCCACACCTGGTGTCTGAGGCATTGTGAGGCATCCACACCTGGTGTGTGAGGCATTGTGAGGCATCCACACCTGGTGTGTGATACATTGTGAGGCATCCACACCTGGTATTACAACCCAGGAATCCAAATGGCCTGTTATCCCGTGTGTAATGGGAGCAAAATAAACACAGCAGAAAAAGTTTAGACTTATATTATCCTTCACCAATTTAGAACAGCAATATGTACACTATGTGCAGTGATAAGTATAGTGCACTCCACGGTAAGCAAGGCAGAAATAGAAGCCACAAGATAGCAGACCGTGCTTCAACCAGCTCTAGAATGGGAATGACAAGGGCAGACAGGAGAGCGGTACCCACATAACCTCTGCGATTGCCAAAACCATCTTCTTATTGGCTAGAACCTGGTCACTAGTTGAACGACGGGGCCCCATCATCAACTCTTAGCAACCTGGTTCGCTGGTTGGGGGAGATAGCCTGTAAATGAGGGTGTGTCCATGCGCCGAATAAAGGTTACATACTCTTTGCATGCCACACCTGGTGTGTGAGGCATTGTGAGGCATCCACACCTGGTGTGTGAGGCATTGTGAGGCATCCACACCTGGTGTGTGAGACATTGTGAGGCATCCACACCTGGTGTGTGAGGCATTGTGAGGCATCCACACCTGGTGTGTGAGGCATTGTGAGGCATCCACACCTGGTGTGTGAGACATTGTGAGGCATCCACACCTGGTGTGTGAGGCATTGTGAGGCATCCACACCTGGTGTGTGAGACATTGTGAGGCATCCACACCTGGTGTGTGAGGCATTGTGAGGCATCCACACCTGGTGTGTGAGACATTGTGAGGCATCCACACCTGGTGTGTGAGGCATTGTGAGGCATCCACACCTGGTGTGTGAGGCATTGTGAGGCATCCACACCTGGTGTGTGAGACATTGTGAGGCATCCACACCTGGTGTGTGAGGCATTGTGAGGCATCCACACCTGGTGTGTGAGGCATTGTGAGGCATCCACATCTGGTGTGTGAGGCATTGTGAGGCATCCACACCTGGTGTTATTATTATTATTATTATTATTATTATTATTATTATTATTATTATTATTATTATTATTATTATTATTATTATTTATTATTATTATTATTATTATTATTATTATTATTATTATTATTATTATTATTATTATTATTATTATTATTATTATTATTATTATTATTATTATTTTTATTATTATGTGACACAGGTAGGTAAGGTTTGTCAGGAAACAGGATAAATGTTTCCTGACACGAATCACAAAAGGGAATTACCAGCAGACAGTCGCTAAGAAAACCTACG